GACATCCACTAATCCCCACACCAACACACACGTAGAGGAGCTTAAGAGAAGGGTGGTGACGTGACTAGCCAAATCAGGTCAGAAAAAAGGGACCCACAAAATAACTATCATACATCTAGATCAAAGGTTTTCAAAGCATTTTTAACATTTGGCCACTGACAAATAAATTTATGTAACATATTATCAGTTTTGAACTGACCATCACTAAGGTTTATTGATTTTAATTCCTTAATCAAACTAGCTTCAACAAGAAGTCTTTCTGTGACACAAGATGATTTGAATACTTCTAAGCTTTTTTCCCAAGCAATGGGGTGATTATTATTCCTAACATGAACAAACAAGGCACTGCTTTCAGATGCAGTTCTGATATTATACTTATGTTGTTTGATTCTGAACTGCAGTGTTTTTCCAGTCTGACCTACATAATTACAATTACATTTGCTACATGGAATACAATAAACACTTCCATTTACATTCAAATTTGGGCTATTCCTTATTAACATATTGGTAATGGTTGAGTCATACTTGAAAACAACATTAATATTTAGAAGCTTGAGGGACCGAACTAACGGGACAAATTCATTACGATAGGGCAGAGTCAAAATATTCTTAAGTGTAGGAACTTGTCTGGTTTGAGAGGAATGAAAGACAAGTTCCTACACTTAAGAATATTTTGACTCTGCCCTATCGTAATGAATTTGTCCCGTTAGTTCGGTCCCTCAAGCTAAGGTACTCCGTTGTTTCCATTTTCCCGTGTGATTTTATCAACATATATATATATATATATATATATATATATATATATATATATATATATATATATATATATATATATATATATATATATATATATATATATATATATATATATATTTCATGTAAATCCACAATGAAAACGTGGACCATATTGAGTGATCCAAATTTGTTCATAAACTTATCATCTTATGATCTACAGACAAATGAGAAACTTGTTCTTGGTTTTGGTAGGAAGTTTTCTATCACTCAACGGTGCGTTAATCCGCTTACTATTGCTAAAGGTTTAATCAACCTGGAAAAGATGAAGTCGTCTGATGTTACAAATGAAGATATTTCCATAGCTAAAGGTTGTATACATAGTGTTTTAAATAAGAAATTTGCTGCAAACATTCCAAAAAGATTTGAAACAGCCTTGATAAACTTGAAAAGAAATAAGAATATCCATATTACCAAGGCTGATAAGTCTAATGCTATTGTTATCTTGGATAAAAGTGACTACAATGATAAGATGAATTCATTACTTAGTGATGAAAGCACGTATTGTGAGCTTACGAAAGATCCCCTGGAAAATATTAATAAGTTATCTAATTCCAAAATGAAGATGTTATTGAAAAAGAACCCCGATCTCACCAAACAGCTCTCTCAAATCAATCCCATTTTACCTTATATGTATGGATTGATCAAAACACACAAGCTTAATAATCCATTACGTCCTATCGTGAGTTCTGTGGGTTCTGTTACTTACAAATTATCCAAGTGGCTGGTAAAGATGATATCCCCTCTTACAGGCCAAATATCTAATTCACATATACATAATAGCAGTGATTTAATTGATAAACTCAAGAAACACAACGAACCTTGCGAATTAATAAGTTTTGATGTAAATTCACTGTTCACTAGAGTACCTGTGAAAGACTTACTTTCATTTCTTAAAGATAAATTACTACTGCTAGATTTAACTATTGAACATGATACTTTCCTGAAATTGATAGAGTTATGCGTAACTGACAATGTGTTTAGAGCAAATGGGAAGTTCTACAAGCAAATATTTGGTATGAGCATGGGTAATTGTCTTTCTGCTCCTCTAGCCTGTATATATATGGAGTTTTTTGAGTCTAGATTACTACCCAATATAGTGGACTTTATTCCTCCATGGTATAGATATGTAGATGATGTTCTTTATCTTTGGCCTAAAAACAGTGACCCATTGGAATTTTTAGACAAGCTTAATAATATTGTCCCTAGTATCACATTCAAAATTGAAAGATAAATAAATGAATCCCTTCCATTTCTTGATATGCTTATCATGAGAAATGGCCAAAACTATAAATTTAAGGTATATAGAAAGCCCACACAGGTAGACAGTTTCATTCACTTTTTATCGAATCACCTTGAGTCTACCAAAATGTCAGTTTTTTCTGTTATGTTCTTAAGATGTCTGCGTATTTGTGACTCTGAATTTATTGACGATGAATTGAAACACATTCGTTCTATTGCACATAAACTTGGGTACCCTTCTGTGTTTGTTGATCGTTGTTTTAAAAGGGCTAAAAAATCCTTCCATTCCTCTCAAACCAGACAAGTTCCTACACTTAAGAATATTTTGACTGCCCTATCGTAATGAATTTGTCCCGTTAGTTCGGTCCCTCAAGCTTCTAAATATTAATGTTGTTTTCAAGTATGACTCCACCATTACCAATATGTTAATAAGGAATAGCCCAAGTTTGAATGTAAATGGAAGTGTTTATTGTATTCCATGTAGCAAATGTAATTGTAATTATGTAGGTCAGACAGGAAAAACACTGCAGCTTAGAATCAAACAACATAAGTATAATATCAGAACTGCATCTGAAAGCAGTGCCTTGTTTGTTCATGTTAGGAATAATAATCACCCCATTGCTTGGGAAAAAGCTTAGAAGTATTCAAATCATCTTGTGTCACAGAAAGACTTCTTGTTGAAGCTAGTTTGATTAAGGAATTAAAATCAATAAACCTTAGTGATGGTCAGTTCAAAACTGATAATATGTTACATAAATTTATTTGTCAGTGGCCAAATGTTAAAATGCTTTGAAAACCTTTGATCTAGATGTATGATAGTTATTTTGTGGGTCCCTTTTTTCTGACCTGACTTGGCTAGTCACGTCACCACCCTTCTCTTAAGCTCCTCTACGTGTGTGTTGGTGTGGGGATTAGTGGATGTCATCATTTTGACCTGAAACTCATGTTTTTAGGTCACCCTGTATATTTAAGCCTCTCTCTGTCCATGTAATCCAGTTGCCTCTGAAGATGTCTTGAATAAAGACGAAAGCTAAGGTACTCCGTTGTTTCCATTTTCCCATGTGATTTTATCAAGATATATATATATATATATATATATATATATATATATATATATATATATATATATATATATATATATATATATATATATATATATATATATATATATATATATATATAAATATATAGCCTATATATATATACAGTGACCCCTCGTTTAACGAACACCTCGGTTAACGTAATTTCGATTAACGAACTGCCTTCCATAAGGATCTTCAATTCCGTTAACGAAAAAAATTCGATTAACGAAGTTCTTACGTAACCGACCTCAACATGTTTTCGCTTGCACTGACCAGGCAACCAGCTTTAGTATCAGTCCGCCAATACATTAATCGGATCTAGGGCTTAAATTCCTTACTATTTTAGTAAATATCAAGAAGTTTATACTATTCAATAATTTTAAAGTTTAATATTCCATTTTTAGTCATTTTAACAATTATTGAACATAATTGAAGGTAAAGTGACTAGTTTAATGCGCGGCATCCAGCCTCTTAACACAGCAAACAGGAGTTACTGTCTCTCTCTGTTTTCACTGGAGGTAACATCTTGCTTGAGACTCTCTTCAACTAAACGCTTTTTTCTGTGTTTCCAAGCAAATTATTGGTCATTTTGAAATATATTTTACATATTGACAATATATAATGTAGTGCAGTGTTGATTTAAAGAAAATAATCTTGAATTACACCAAGAGAGCTAAAATTTTATGGGTGAAATGGTGCCATGGGGTGACTTCTCTTCCACCCCAATGCCTCTTCTTCTTCTCCCTTCTCCTCCACCCCCATTCTAAATTCCATCATCATCATCATCCAGGAGCCTTCTACATACACACCTCAAAGTAAGTGAACTTTTCTATCATTTTTGTTGAATTTAGGAAATTTTCGGTGAGCTGGAACCAATTACCCAAAACCCATTAAACAATATATATGGTTTCATAACGAACTTCGATTCAACGAACGACCTTCTGGAGCGGATTGAGTTAGATTGCTTGGAGAGGTCACTGTAGTATTGGCCTTATATATGTATATATATATATATATATATATATATATATATATATATATATATATATATATATATATATATATATATATATATATATATATATATATATATATATATATATATATATATATATATATATATATTAGCTACTGATTTAAGTTTTCTTTGTCAATGCATTTATAGTAACTGATCGATGCTCTTTTGTTTTCACTTTGTTTATATCTCAAGTACTATGTTTAAGTACTTACAGCCGAGGCTCCTCCTCGTGTAACTCGTAAATACAGCATTAAGGTAGAAAGTGTCTCTTTTTAGCCTGCGTCATCTGGCGAAGATGATGGGATATACTAACCTTTGAGTATATGACATGTTAACGTAAAAACAGACGATTCATATTACTCTCAATAGCCAACAAAACATGTAGCTATGCCTTCTTTATTGAGTACCCTGTCTGAGGCATCCGTTTTCTCAACGCTTCAGGACGTCTGAGTCCTCCGTTTTCCCTCAATCTTAGAGTGCACCCAAGACTCCGTATTCCTTAGTATAACGACACCAAATTTGAAATAGCAACTGTAATCATATCTGTTAAGGCAACTTAGATATGTCTGATTACAGATGGAACATTCAAGATCCCTTGTGAGTGATGTTAAAAGCTTCAACTGTCTTTATTGTTAGTGAAACTTGTCACGTAAGTGAGTGTCAAGTCTGCCAGTACGAGTGACATGTTTTTATATCGTCCTTGGGATAGCCATGAGTTTATAAGTACTCCTGAAATTAGATCATTTTGATGCCCAAACATCAGAGAATCTGATGTTTGTAGTTTAGTTAGTGTCAGCTGTTTATTTAAGAAAGTTATTAAGCTCCTGAAAGATTCTGTCAAACTGTATGATCTCCAAAATCTAACATATCCCCATGAATAGTTCCTCGTTTGTAGTTTTGCTGAGCTTGTGAAAGTAGTGTTGTTAGTGTGTGTATTTGACGTCCATTTCACTTTTTCCTGGCAAGCTCAATCTCCGATCAGATTATAAAAATAGACGTAAGAAATTCACCTGACCCATGGCATTGATTTTCATAGTTAAATGTACAGCGACATAGTTGAATGTAATTTCTGTCAAGTGACATAGTCGAATGTAATTTCTGTCATTGCTTGATTAGCCTTTTTGGCATGGGTAGCGCACAGGCCTGAATTGCCAGTTAGCCGTATGTAAACTCGTTTAAGAGGAGCAGCGTCACATCTCTGACGCTGTTCCATCATATCTCAGGCACAGTCTGTGTGTTAGCTGAATACCAGACAGTCACCGGGGAACCGGTAGCTGCATACCAGCTGGCTGTCTTGCAGGATGTCGTTAATTCGGCACGATTAAATTGTGCGAGTCTGCACCCTGGGAACTTGGCCCGAATTCCCTCGCAGTGTGTCGGACTGCAACCGACCCTAACAGCACTCTTCGTTTGTTGTGGTGACACCAGTGTTACACCCTGGGGCACTCCTTACAGTTATATGGGCCAAAGTATTAATGTTGTATATGATTGGATATAATTAGCAGAAATATAGTTATCCCATGTTGAATAATGAGCCCATAAATATTGATAGAACTAGTAATAACATGTTATGTGGGTTGTGAGTACATCATTCATATATACTACCAACTGAGGGAAAAGTGCCATGTTGTTCATTCCGAAATAACATGGTGTTATAAATAATACGTTAATTTGGGATATTGTCAAGTGTGTCATGTAACCATCTGTATTGACAATGAAATAATTTAATGATGGTTTAATGTTGTAACCAAGAAGTGAAGATTTATTTTGCTACTTGTAAAAGTAAGACCTAAGGGTCCAGCCCTATCTGAGCGTGTAAAATAACATCTTATTTGTCGAAGAAATAATATAACAGTTGTTTATTGATGTAATAAGTAAGTGAAGATCTATTTTATGAATTGTAAATAAAGACCTAAGGGGTCCAATCTTGTCTGAGTGTACTTATTTACCATCTTGTTCACTCCTTGTTAATAAATATTGAATTAGTAAACTAAGAGTATCACTGCTCTATTCCTTTAACATTTGGTTCTCAGAAAATAACTATTGTAACTCACATGCCTAGAAGCTCGCTAGCACGCTACCTAACAGTTCAATGAGGTATGTTATATGTACTGTATTATTATTATTATCATTATTATTACATTATCGCCCCCCAGGCCCCGATGTGTGTCAGTGACCTGTGCCCGGGTGGGGTAATCCCCGTAAAACAAAATCATTTTTTTAGGGGCCTGGGATCGACGGTTGATCCGAAAGTCGGTTAATCGAGGTTTTACTGTATTCTAATAAAAGTCTGGGTGGTGGCAGGCTACCGTTGTAAGTATAACAAGTGTTATAGTAAGAATGACATGGTTTTCCCAGACTAATCCTTGGTATAGAATATAACTAAGGCATGATAATAAATTGATAGAAAGGACATAAAATTCAGAGAATACAATAATATACCCCCTGTATATGACAAGGAATAAAGCATAGAAAAGAATATTGACTTAAAAAATATAAACAAAGAAATTTATGATAGATACTTATAGACAGAAAGACTAAGAAAATAAGATTAATAGAAAATATAGATATGAAGCAAGTATATAAGTATTTATCTTAAACTTCTTTGCTAAATTTAAGTTGCCTTAACAGATATGACAGCAGTTGCAATTTCAAATTTTGTGTCGTTATACTAAGGAATACGGAGTCTCGGGTGCACTTTAAGATTGAGGGAAAACGGAGGACTCAGATGTCCTGAAGCGATGAAAAGACGGATGCCTCAGACAGGGTACTCAATAAAGAAGGCATAGCTACATGTTTTGTGGGCTATTGAGAGTAATATGAATTGTCTGAATTTACTGAACTAACATGTACGACCGTGGTCATTACAGAGTACTGTATATAATAAGACATGTAGCAACGTACAACTCATTATCTAATTCTGTATTTCAGGTAATCTGTGAAGACCCAACATGGTGGTCACTGGTTTTTGTGACATGCAGCCATCAACACTTCCAAGTCTTACAACACTGAAAAAAATATCAGTTTTGTTATGACATACGAGCCAGTTAAATCACACAACTAACATAAAGAGAAAGCAACTTAATATGGGCAGTCATCTCAGCTTTTATAATGGAAGTATGGGAAAATAAAATCAGATTTACTAAAGCTGCAGAAGGATCTCTGACCTTCAAGAATGGTCGAAGAAATGGCTGCTAAGATTCAATGTCATGAAATGTAAGAGACTAAGGCTGGGACGTACTAAGGAGGCGTATAATATGCCCCAATGGGACGAAGAAACTGCATTAATTGAGACAATGTGAAAAGGACCTAGGTGTGTATATTGACAATGAGCTGAAGTTCTCGGGCCATTGCGAGAAGGTAAATCAGGCAACTAAATTATTAGGTCTTAAAAGAAGGTTGTTCAGATATCTAGACGGTCGGTATTTCGTAACGATCTTCAAGAGTGAAGTGCTTCCCCATCTGGAGTATGGTCAGCCCGTCTGGTCCCTGAGATATGCCAGTGACTGTCAGTTGATTGAAAATGTCTAAGGGAGGGCCACCAGACTGGTAACTGCACTACGGCACCTCAGCTACCCCGAGAGATTAGAGCGCTTGAATTTGCCTAGTTTGAACTACAGACGGGCAAAGGTAGACCTAATTGAGGTGTATAAACATCTCAAGGGCACTACTCAGTCGAGTGCCCTTACCTGGAGCTGGCAGATGCTCACCCCACAAGGGGTCGCAGCTCAAGATTAAAGAAGCCGCAAGCCCAGAAAACTGTGAGGGGTAACTTTTTCGAAGTGAGAGTTGTGAACTCTTGGAACAATCTGCCAGAGAGTATTGTGACGACAGCGAGTGTGAGCTCTTTCAAGACCAGACTTGACCAACACTGGAGCAGGTTCAGATAAATTCAGGAGCCAGTGCATGCCCATTACTTGTCATCAGTGCGTAACAGAGACACGATCGATCGCCCAAGCAGCTAACGAGCCAATCAGCGGTGAAGAGGATAAAAATAAAAATTAAGTAAAAGAAAATGAAGCAAAAAGTTATTAATATACAGTACTTTAAAGAGAAACAAAATAAAGACACATTCAGAATTTTGTATGGGATGGAAAAGTGAATCCGGGCCATTTTTTGGACGTCCTGTAACACCAACATAATAGGACACGACTTTACACAAACAAACATTTACATAAATGCACAGTTTTATATGAATACTGTACAAGTGCACATACACACAATTAACAGACTCAGCTTGTACACCTAATGACAACAACATGATGTGAAGTAATAGAAATTAAGTCTTACCTCCCACAGGTCAGCAATGTTTAACCAGTTGCCTTTAATGGCATCATATAGGAGCCTGGAGTGTCTGTGTACTGTAGTTGACTCTGAACTAGTCATACTGAGATGTGTTGTTGGTCCTTGAAGCTTCCTGAAAATGTGACCAATCGCTTTATAATACACAACACTGAGACTACTGTACAGTATTATACTATAGGCAGAGGTTATTTGACCAGTAGCCGACTGAATATCGCTGGATAGTTGACCAGAATCTAAAATGTAACTTAATACTGTACTGTACTTTTTGCCACAGACAATTCTACAATTAAATAATAGTGTAAAGACTAGTCTAATGCTTACAATCATCCTGATTAGAATAACATTAAAATCATACACAATCCCAGCAGGTCCCAGTCAGGAATCTATCAAATAACTTCATACAGGGGGCTCCCCAAATTCGTGGGGGTTAGGTTCTCAAAATGGCTGCAAATCGCCAAATCCGCGAATAACATCTGCAGACCAGGGGGGGGTTACAGGTAGCAAGTAGTAGGCAGCTACCAAACAGGGAGGTACTACAACCTGGGGAGATATTGGAAGCATAATTTATTGACTAATGGTAGACCCGCAGTGGAGGAAGTGTTGCTCCGTACTTTGTTTCCATTTACTCACTACTGTGAATGTGAAAATATATTTCTTTGGTTTGATTTACATAGTATTTAAAGCTCACTGTGCAATTTAATTTCAATACTTAACATCATTTTCACCCTGCTTACACAATGGGAAATACTGTTGAAAAGAATTTACTCACGGAAGTAAGACAAAGAAGCTCCTTTTATGACGACGTTATAATGCAGTTTACATGGCAAAAAAGAAAAATAGGACTCATGTATAAATAAAATGGGTAAGTAAAATATATTTTTATTTAAATTGCACTGCTAATGTATGTACTACACTTCTACAATAAATTTCTTCTATTTTGCATTTCTCTGTGCTGTTTATATGAGTAGTATACTACCTTTTATAAGTACAGTATAGTCTGGATTTACGCAGTTTTTGTTTACGCGTTTGGTCATTTACGCGGTGCCTTGCCAGAATGAAATGTTTTAATTATGCGGTAAATTTCATCATTATGCGGCGAGTGGCTGGAGAGGTCCAGACCGCCGCGCCATTTTTTACTCACGTGGTCCATTCTTGACCATACGCGGGAAGCGGCGAGGTGAGGGGTGCGCATTAGGCGGCTCTTACGTTATCGCTGACGTCATATGACGTATCGGACTGTGATTGGGCCACTCATCCTTACCACCCACACATTCCCTCCGCCGCTAGCTGTGATTGGTCTAATGTAACATGACGTGCCCTGCCACCAGAAGTCGCTGACCTAGCCGGGCCAGTCTCATTGTTCTCAGTCCACGTATACAGTTCTCTCTTGTGCCCGCTATTTCCCTCATAATGGCTTCCGCTGGACCCCCACCACCCGAGAAAAACCCTGAATTACCTGGACCAAGCCATGATTGTGTGAAGGAAATCATCGAGGGGGAGAAAATTAAGCTCATCCTTGACAACGACCCAGACAAGCATCGGTATGAAGAGTCTAATAACCATCTGACGAAAGTTATGGAGCCGTATATCCAGATCTATTTCGACAACATCAATGCTAGTCGTCAACGTAGTATTAAGGACTTCACCCGCAACCCACCACAACCACAGCCAGCCCAAGTCAGTGACAGTGAGGATATGGACTTTGAGGGGTTTGTCTGGGAGGCCCTGCAAACCTCTGCGAGTAGTGAAAGTGACTCACCGGAGGGCAACTAATCTTCCCTCTGCCTTGGAACCAGCCGCCATCCAAGTGTGCCGACCCATCTTTTCTACTAACGTAAGTGATAAAAAACCTAATATTATTGATATTTCTCTTAAATATTAATTGTGTGTGCATACCATCATAAAATTAAGATGTTATTTTTACTACAAGGTACGTATTGTGTCGGAAAAAGTGGAGTTTGGGGGTCGGCCCAGTCTCTATTTCAATTACTGTAATCCCATATGTTCTGTTATTTCATTTACGCGTTTCTCGTTTTACGCGGACCTCCACGGGTTCAATTGACTGCGTATATGCAGACTATACTGTATGTCATTTATTTTATACAACTTAAAGTTTAGTCTTTACCTTATTATAATGCTCAGCACACCCGGTTTCAATACCCACCATACGCCACTGATTATTATTATTATTAAATTTTTGCCCCCAGACCCCAATGTGGGTCAGTGACCTGTGCCCAGGTGGGCTAATCCCCATAATTTTTTTTTTACTTGTGTCCAAAGAAATGTATATTCCATTTGTGTTTGCCCTTAGGACAATTATTTCTTTTACCTGTAGTATTGCGTATGTGTGTGTGTGTGTGTGTGTGTGTGTGTGTGTGTGTGTGTGTGGACACACACAAAACATATAATTGAACAAAATTGTGTTCACCAGCCCTGCCCATAAAAAGTAAGCATGGACTTGAGGGTAGACTGTTATATTTTTAATAAATTTGTTTCTGATCATTTGTGAGAGGATTTTCCAATTACAGGTATTATTTGTGTATGTGTTGTGTGTGTATGTACACATACACACATATATTTACAATACAGGTAAAGGAAATTACTGTCTCTAGAACGAATGGATCCCTGTTCCAGCCGCAATGTAGGCAACTTTAAAACTACACACAGATATTCTTGGGTACATCCAGGGTGCCATCCGCAAATAACCGAGAATCGCAAAGTAAAAATCCGCGAGCTTGGGAGGCATACTGTTTATTATAGTGGGTAATTATTTGTTTAATACCATACTGAGAAATTGATTACTCAATTAGGTTCTTCGGTATTATTATCGTTTCGGCCATACAGCAAATTTTGGTTTAGTTTAGGTTAAATTACGTTAGGTTGAAATTCAGTTTTTCCAATGTTTTTTTTATGTGTTTCAAACGATTCTGACCTTCCGAAAATATGCGCATGACCGGGATGATAATTTTGCCACTTTTTCTTTCGTAGTTTTTCTAATACTGTACTTGTACAGTAAATAAATATGACCTTTATTTCCTTTAACACTAGTAACAACAATGAATCTCTGAAAGTGGCCAGGTCTTTGAACATGAGAAGTTAAACAAAAATAATAATAAACTATTAAAAACCTACATAACCTTTTGTGATACACGCAAAAACTGAATCGGTAAACCTGGTTTCATACACAACCAATTGTGTTTACATTTCGTGGACGTGAGCAAGATTCATTACTATTGACGGACTTTAAACGCACTACACACATTTATCGGGAGATTTATGCATTTACAAAATTTTTTTTTAAATGTACTTAGGCCTCCCTTGTGACCTAAATGCCGAAGAAATAAATTACCCTATTGGCAAAACATTGAAAACACGAAAAACATTAATAAAATCACCGTTTCTTTTGCCATCGGTTAAACATATTTTTTTTTTTACTATTTGGGAGTTCTCTGGGTTAACAAAGGTTAGGTCAGGCTTTAATTTTTTTCTAAGAACACGACTACCACCAGAAAGAGCTATTCGATTTTTTTCATTTTTTCCACATATTCTTATCATTATAGTAAGTTTTTTTTATAAGAGATGACAACTTTTTAGGTCAATTGATAGTATCACACCAGACTTTATTTTTATATTAAAAAAAAATTTTCCTATGGTTTTTGACAAGTTTTGAATCCGGAAAACTGCTTTTAGAATCTCCCCAACAATCATAGCGAAAAGCGATTTTTCTTTTTCAAATAAATAAAATACAGTCAACCCGCTTATGTCCCACTTTTTACTGCTGCTTTCCACGCCACGCTGGCACCTGCCGAAACCGAATGCTTCACGCTTCCGCTGTGTGTGTGTGCCCTTGACAAGAGAGCGGCGCGGAGTAGTGGTGCGACAAGGTCGCCCTCCTGCCTGACGACACGAAGTTCTTCACAAATTCGGCCACCCACCAGTGTTTCTGCCCAAGTCAGTGATAATGATAGAGGATATGGACTTATATGGATCTTGAGGGTTTTTGACAGTGAGGCCCTGCAAGCCTCTGTGGTGATAGTGATACAATTGATACAAGTGATACAGGTGAGGGCCAATAATCTGCCCTCTGCCTCGGAACCAACCCCCCATCCCCGTGTGCCCAGCCATCTTTTCTACGAATGTAAGTGTTAAAAAACCTAATATTATTGATATTTCTCTTAATTATTAATTGTGTGTGCATACCATCATAAAATTAAGAAGTTATTTTTACTACAACGTAGGTATTGTGTCTGAAAAAGTGGAGTTTGGGGGTCGGCCCGGTCTTTTTCAATTAATCCCATATGTTATGTTGTTCACTTTATGCGGGCCACCGTGGGTTGAATTAAACGCGTAAAGTGAGGGTTCACTGTACTAACCAACCAACAAAACCTAACCTTACCCAAACTAACCTCCTATTCTTCATGCCCCCACATCTTACCTTAATCTGCAAAACTATTGTGACACCACCAAATATGCTGTTCTTCACGCAGTGTACACTGGTTATTACACTTTGGACAAAGAACTATATTCGGTAATACACCGGGTTTCCTAAAAAAAGAAGAAAAAAATGCCTCACTATTTTTCTGGTGTAACTCTGCAATTGGTGTAAAATAATCATTCTTACAATGTCGGCACAGCTCTTCCAACTCAAATTTCTGCTCCCGACCCACCCACTCATTGTTCATTTGCTAAAGCAAAAAAATCTTGCCCAATAAAAATACTCAAATCGCTATAGCCAATAACAGGCTCCCACCTCACATGCGCTGTTAAACGCTTAAGAAGTGAACACGGAGGTCTGGAGCGATGTGTGAGCGGGTGTCAGACCTCCTCCGCCAAATGTAAACAAGACATGGTGACACTTGTGAATGAGCTAAAGTAATAATCTTGAAAAATTAATATCACGGTTATCCTTAATTTCCGGTGGAAATATCATAGAATACAAATGTCTTAGAATTGTCTAAAAATTACGAAATACATTTTAATAACAGCATAAGAAAGTCCGGTGTAAACTTATAAACTCTCCAATTTTTACACTGATACTTATTTATGAATGACCCTTGGCCGATTTTTCATAGAAAATAATTACAAAAACACCGCAATTTCACCGAGTTTTATAGTGAACACTGTTGTAGTTTGTGCAAATGTGTTAAAAGTGGTTATTTCTAAATTAAACCTAACCTAACCTTTGTTGATATGAAAAACAAGCAGCAGAAGCATTGTTAGAAGACCTAACATATCTAACCTTACCTGACTTCCTAACAGCCCCCTGGTATATTAAACAGAAAGAACTTACTATGATATGGTGTAATTTTAATTATTTTGTGAACGTGAGAGCAGCTGTCCGTACTGAACTGTACTTAGGTATACACCAAGTATCAGTGTTGAGACTGTTGACCAAGCCCAGGCAGCAGAGGGTTGAAATGACTGTTTACACC